GATATAGAGAAGGAGGTAAATGGAAATGTATTATTGTATAGCAGCTGTCCACGCGGACGCATCGCTCACTCAAGTAGGGGAGAGACAAATGTCGAACGCTGCCGAACGCGGAGATCGATTGTGCCTCTTTGTCGCTCGTTCCGCGCTCTCGCTTGCACTTCAAGCCTTAAATGGAACGCCTCAGAGCAAGGTAACGCCGCATGAGTCATGTTTTTTCGTGCGTGCAGCCGGGGCTCTATCGAATTATAAGACGTCACGTCAAAAACTTGGATGCTATCAAGGAAAAAATTAACCGTCCAATTGTGATAATTTTTGTTAATGTATAAGACATTTACAAAGTGCTGAAAAATAATTTATAAAAACTAGCATTTATCAGAATGACACACCAATTATCATCCATAAACAAAAAGTCTATTAGATGGATCAACGGCGCGCACCAATAAATAATCTAATCGCCTGTTACCAAAATGTTCAAGGTCTTCATAGCAACTTGGAGGAATTTTCGCTTTTTTAATAATAAAACCCGATATTACAATACTCTCAAAAACCTGGCCGGTAGAATCTATTAAAGACGATGAATTAGATCTGACAAACCACACTATGTTCCGTAAAAATAAAGTATACTTTGCAGATGTTACTGGAAAAGGGGTTCTAATTGCTGAATGCTTATGCATCTGACCTTTCTGAATACCCGGATAATTGGGTTGAACACGTCTTTATCACTTTTCAAATAAACCAAAGAAGCCAAAATTACTTGCCCCCTGAAGATTAATTACATACTATGAAATGTCCATTGCCACTATTAAACACTTATCTCGCGAATTTGTATGTAATAATGTCTTGCAACTCAAATGTGTTGGAGGATAAAATTCAATTTAATTCAAATATTAATTTAAGGCATTTTAATTTTAGCAATTACTAAATTTAATCATTATTAACTTTACGTAATAATACAGAGGAATTTTAAGAATTACATTAATTTTGTATACTTATACATTAAGTTTGTTTTAAGTTGTGACTAGACCCGAGAACAAGTATTTTGATGCCTCCTTCGGACAATAATTGTAAAATTATTGTACAATACTTGTATCTGGTAAATTTAAATACATAAAATAAATAAATAAATTTGTAATATTTTATTGAGGTTTTTAAGAGTAAACTTGATCATTTCACCTGTTCTAATACTGGGGAATTGGTTTGATTCCTTCCTTGAATACAGATTCGAATATACTGCTGTTTATCTCCATCAACTCACAATTGAGCGGCATCACCTAGACGTTTAGACTGTTCGTTAGCGTTCGGGTTCGATATAGAGTCCGTCTGCCATGATTCAACCTTTTCTGGGGTTTTCCTGGATCACAATAAGCAAACGCTGGGGCAGGAAAAATTTCCCATAGATAATTTTTCACTTTTCTTCTGTTTTCGTTTCATCCGTCTCATTTCTGTCACCCGAACCAATACTCATCCACTCCCACAATTCCTAAGAGGAGACTGAATATTTATTTCTTTCTTATGTAGTGATAGTCATGTGGCAAATACAACTACATATCATAACTACTCGACAATCCACTGTAGTTTAATAAGCAGGCGATGCCGCTTATGTGATAAATAATATCAATTCGAAATGTAATTACAAAATCAAAGTATTTAAAAAAACTACAACTGCGCCTCAGTAACTGCCGCATAAAAACTAATTCGAAACAAAACACAACTGGCGTTATTCAGACGCTCCACATTCCGCAAATGCTCACTCTCGACGTACGATATTAATTTAATCATTAATCAAATTATGTTTAGCTAACACTTCCGCATGGAGACGTTAAATGTACACTTCATAGGGCTTTTTAAATATTTTTAATTTATAATAAATACTTATAATTTGAGCACTCTATGGAAGTCAATATGATAGGTTATTAGGACACCTTCTCAGGCATGAAGGTCTAGTCAGAGACATATTCGAGTCAGAAACAGGAGTTAAAAGGAGTAGAGGTAGACCTAGATTAGATTATTGTTCACAAATAGTGAAGGATTTGAGATGTTCTAGTTTTAGGGAAATGCCAAGATTAGCTCAGGATAGGAAGGAGTGGAGGTGCGTGTCGAACCGGTCTTAGGACTGACGACCTTATGATGATGATGTTTTTGTCCATGTTTGAATATTTTTCTATTAGATTAAGGATGAAACATTAATGTCTAAGTCTGTTTTAGCGTGTCTGAAGTTTCTAATGCTAAATATGCTAAATAAATCTTTGAAAAATAGAAAACTGGTTTTCAATTCCTACTGTTACAATTTGCTTTAAGTCTGTTACAACTAGCCGCAATCACGTTGTAACACTTCATTTTTTTTTCTAAGCCAATTTAACAAGAATTCGTCACAGGTTTGATCAAAATTTAATTTGAAATCGATATTTGAATAACAGCTCATTCGAAAATTACTGCTGCATTTCCTAAATACACAACAAGTAAGCTTCCATAGCCAAGAAACAAAAAAATATTACAACTAGCCCCCCACTTCCTTACGACTTTCTGAGTAACAAAATGGGTTTGACAGAGTAGTTTTTGTACTTTCAAAGTATGATGGCTGGCAAGTGGGACTTTGTAGGTGCCAGGTGCTAAAAGTAAGCAAAAACTTACTCACTTTTCTTATAGTCTGAATGCTGAGTATTTCTAAAAATTAATAATCAACACTGCGAGATACACCCCGTTGGTCGATGGTAGTTTTTGTCAGATGCTTCAATGCTATATTTACAGTCTTAGTCTTCATTTTTAGATATGATACTTAGGGAACTATTGCAATACTTTTTGTAAACAGTCAGACTAATTGTAGGCCAAAAATCCCCCAAACACAATTAAAATGTCGCTGTGAGTATAAGCGACAGCGGGATAATTTAGGGACATTTGAATTGTGTCTGGAGGATGTTTGAACCCTATAACAAACGTCAAAGGTAAACCATCGACACAGCAACTATCTACATCATCGAGTGATACTTCAGAATCTAGGATTTAGTTAAATGATTCTATAGATGATGACGACCAACAAATGTGAGGAGCACCTAAAGACTATTAAACAAGATGATTAGATTCAATGCAAACAACTTATCAGAAAGAAATAAAATAATATTATGTTCGTCTCTCCCGTATACAATGGGTCTCTTCCCGATTGTGGAGGTGAGATTCCAAAAGTAACGTTTTGAGAGAAGTTCAAATTTATGTTTTTGTTTAATGAATAAGCTATTATTTTATATATTCTATAAGCAGTATTATATTTTTTGTTAGTATGTCACAAGATTTTGAAGAAAACTTTAAAAACAAGGCGATAACGTTAATTTGCAAAAATGTGTTGCATCTCTCCTGGAATTATCCTAAATACATGAATAAAAAGTGTTTGGAACTACATGCGGCTTTTGGAGGGTTAAATTATTATATTAAGTCAGGAAGGATGATTACATTACAGTATTTTACATAATTTGTAAGCGCATAGGACAACCATTTTTATGATTAAGGGAAAATTATATAAAAAAAGAGAGATATTCATTTATAAGAGTTTCTGTTTCAACATGAAAATTAAATTTTTGTGGGATCGGCTCATGTTTCGTTAAGTTTATTATCGCAAAAATTTTTTACGAATACAGAATAGTAACAGAATTGCCTTTGTCGCTTGTGATAGGTATATTAATAATTCTGTATTGTATAAAATTTTATCTGGACAAGTTTTATCATAGTAAACGTTTAAAAAAAAACAGGAAAAAGTTTGAAGGCCGATCTAACAGTTGACTCGTGGACAGTCAAAAAACTCTAAACATTTATAATTCAATAACGGATTAGNGTTTCAAGAAGTTAGAGATATGCCCCTTCCCTTTATTAGGATGCGCCGTAGCATAATTCCAAATTCAATCATATTTGTCTGCGGAGCTCATTTCTCCACCGATCATGGAGCGAGAACTAGACAAAAGTGTACAGTACCATTTACAAAATTATTTAAACTGCCTCGTTTAAAATTAAGAATATGCTTTATTTAAAAGCATATTTAGCCAAAAATAATAACAAGTGAATTAACTTAATACTCTACACACCTATAAAACTTTTGCTTTGTTTTCTATTGTTAATTTATTTACATTTTTGTTTTAAGAAATTGCTAAACATTTTCGTCTAGTACTGTACAGTTCTAGCCCATCTCCTAAGACCGCTCATCGAGAGCTCTGTTCGTTCAAGCTTGTTCCAACTATTTCTGTCTTGCTCACGCCTAGTGTGTATTCTTTCTATCTTCGCGCAGATTTCTTCAAGGTCACAATTCTAACAAATGGAAATGGACTGTATATCTTATGCCTGTATATGAAAATGACATTTATCACGAATTTTAAATGCCGAAGCAGATGCGCTCTTCAGTATAAAAAATTATGTAATTTTTACACAAGAAATTAAGAAAAAATTTTGTACAAACTCCACTACATCTAGGTACTACTAAATATTCACCACTGTTGAGCGGTTTAATCCATATTTTGTGATGAGTATAGGAAAGCAAAAACAAGTAATCATTTTTGAGGTTACTCAAATGATGATTTGGTGGTGGCGCTTTCTTGACCTTCGTTACGCAAATGCAAATTTCACATAAGACGAGAAAACAGCTTTTGCTCAAAAAAAAATTACAAATATAAAGACATTTAATCACTGACTTAGAATTTTTCTGAACATTTATTAAAGGAATTTTCTTCCCATTTAGGAACTTTTCGACAAAGAGAAACGTTTTTTTTAAAGCTACATTATATAATATAATATAATTTATTTAAAACGTATTTATCGAAAATATATGTATCGTTTATCATATTCATGTATTCTGAACAAAAAGCGTAACATGAATTTTATCAGCAGAAGTACTTCAAAAATACCTTTATAAATCGAGATTCTGCCAAGGCCTATACAATGTTTGTGTGACTAGCAGAAATGAAGGAAATTGTCTTAACTCTCATTACACTTTCATTAGTTACGGTAAATCTGTGATATTAATTTGGAAGTACAGAGCAAGCTTGAATTAATTTTTTTTTTATTTTTACAGGCTCACGTAACAAGGGATTGGTCTAAAATTATAGCTGCTCGTAGATCAGCTCCCACGGGAATCAACCCGCTTGCTGAAGATTTAAAGATCGTGGGAGGGAATGTAGCTTCGCCAAACTCTATACCATATCAAGTAAGCAAGTAGAAAATATTTAGAATATCTGGTGCTTGATCGAAATTTTGGGGTTAATTAATGTACAATAAAGGGATGTTTGAGTTTGCTTTCAAAGAGAAAAGTAGCCGCAGCTATTGAATTTGTTAGTATTAGGAAACGAAATTATGCGCATTGGGTTAAGATTTAGGTATAAAAGTTCGATGCAAACAAATTCGCGGTATTCTGCTAGTCCACAATGTAGTTTTGTTATTGTTTATTTAGGCCGCTTTAATACTTACCTACAGTGATGGAGCGAATTTGTGTGGAGGATCTCTCATCTCCAGACGATACGTGTTAACAGCTGCCATGTGTTTATCCAGTGGGTAAGACGTATACTCTTAATTGTTGTACTCATTACTCCATGTACCATGTGCATTTTTCCTTTTATTTTTTTCTTCTAATAGATTTGAGTCGTTGGAAGTGATTCTTGGAGCCCATAATATTTCTCAAGTTGAACCTAGCCAACAAGTGATTTCTAACTCCATATTCAAAATCCATGAACAGTATACTCGTCAATCTCAAGCTAATGATATAGCCTTGGTTTATCTTCCAACACCAGCCAATCTCAATCGTAACTATCTCTGTTGATGATTAACTTTATATTAAATATTAATTAGCATTTATTTTCTCTCAGGTGTTTACTATGAAAAAAACAACTAAGAACCAATTCAGGTCAAAACTATACCTTGTTTAAAATCTCCTCCCAAAAATTTGCCCTGTGATTGAGGACCTTTTCAAGGTCAAATAGTAAAGGTTAGACTGAAAGCTTGTAACATAATCATATTCTACTGTAGCTGACATAGGTATTAGTGAAAGAACTTAACATATATTAAATTTTTTTTATATAAGTAGGTACAACAATATTTAAGTCCTGCAGTAAAACACTTTATTAACAAGAAAAATAAAGGAATGATTTTAATACAATGTTTAGTTTATTCACTACTACATTTTCTAAACTAAAATATGGTTAAGAAGGTTGTTTGCAATCTTTCAATTTAACTTTTACAGTTATCCTTAGATAGCTTTTAATAAAATGGAAGCGGTACTGACAGATCAGTACTGCATGAAAATAAATAAAAGTAAAACTAAAATACTGGTATGCAAGGGAAGAGAAAGTAGAAAAAGACCGAATATAAAGATAGGAGACGAAAAATTAGAAGAAGTGACGGAAGGAGTAGTAGGGATATAAAGCAGAGGATAGCGCAGGGTCGTGTCGCCTTTAATAAAAAGAAGTNTATGCGCATTGGGTTAAGATTTAGGTATAAAAGTTCGATGCAAACAAATTCGCGGTATTCTGCTAGTCCACAATGTAGTTTTGTTATTGTTTATTTAGGCCGCTTTAATACTTACCTACAGTGATGGAGCGAATTTGTGTGGAGGATCTCTCATCTCCAGACGATACGTGTTAACAGCTGCCATGTGTTTATCCAGTGGGTAAGACGTATACTCTTAATTGTTGTACTCATTACTCCATGTACCATGTGCATTTTTCCTTTTATTTTTTTCTTCTAATAGATTTGAGTCGTTGGAAGTGATTCTTGGAGCCCATAATATTTCTCAAGTTGAACCTAGCCAACAAGTGATTTCTAACTCCATATTCAAAATCCATGAACAGTATACTCGTCAATCTCAAGCTAATGATATAGCCTTGGTTTATCTTCCAACACCAGCCAATCTCAATCGTAACTATCTCTGTTGATGATTAACTTTATATTAAATATTAATTAGCATTTATTTTCTCTCAGGTGTTTACTATGAAAAAAACAACTAAGAACCAATTCAGGTCAAAACTATACCTTGTTTAAAATCTCCTCCCAAAAATTTGCCCTGTGATTGAGGACCTTTTCAAGGTCAAATAGTAAAGGTTAGACTGAAAGCTTGTAACATAATCATATTCTACTGTAGCTGACATAGGTATTAGTGAAAGAACTTAACATATATTAAATTTTTTTTATATAAGTAGGTACAACAATATTTAAGTCCTGCAGTAAAACACTTTATTAACAAGAAAAATAAAGGAATGATTTTAATACAATGTTTAGTTTATTCACTACTACATTTTCTAAACTAAAATATGGTTAAGAAGGTTGTTTGCAATCTTTCAATTTAACTTTTACAGTTATCCTTAGATAGCTTTTAATAAAATGGAAGCGGTACTGACAGATCAGTACTGCATGAAAATAAATAAAAGTAAAACTAAAATACTGGTATGCAAGGGAAGAGAAAGTAGAAAAAGACCGAATATAAAGATAGGAGACGAAAAATTAGAAGAAGTGACGGAAGGAGTAGTAGGGATATAAAGCAGAGGATAGCGCAGGGTCGTGCCGCCTTTAATAAAAAGAAGTCACTTCTATGCTCCCGAACGGTTAATTTAGAAATTCGAAAAAGGTTGTTAAAGGTGTATGTTTGGAGCGCGGCGTTGTGGGCAGTGGGCGCGACGGAAAAGAAAAGGTTGGAAGCCTTCCAAATGTGGTGCTATAGGCGAATGATGAGGATAACGTGGGTAGAAAAGGTTAGAAATGAAGAGGTATTAAAAAGAATAGGAGAATAGAGGACTCTATGGAAGTCAATAAAAAATAAGCGAGATAGTTTAGTAGAACACCTTCCTTGGCATGAACGTGTAGTCAGAGACATATTAGAGGCAGAAACAGGAGTTAGGAGGGGAAGAGATAGACCTAGGTTAGATTACTGTTCACAAATAGTTAAGGATGTGGACTGTTCTAGTTTTAGGGAAATGCGAAGTTTAGCTCAGGATAGGAAAGAGTGGAGGTACGTGTCCAACCAGTCTTAGGACTGACGACCCTATGATGATGATGCGTTATCTTTGAAGATGCCGTCAGTTATAGGGCAAAATTGCTGTTATGAAATACTAAATATGTATTATAATTAATTAAAGCAAAAATTAAATCATTCGATAGGCAATATCACGTCCTCTTCAAATAATGTCATCGTCAAGTCTGTTCAATAATTTAATTTTTGCACTTATCCTTTTGGAACCTATAAATTTTGTGATTTCTTATTGCTATTCTACTGATCTTAATTTCTCTTCACAGAGTACGTTCAACTGATTGCTCTTCCCAGTAGAGCTGATGTTTCGAATAATTTCGTTGGAAGCCAGGCAATGGCAAGTGGTTGGGGATTCATTTATGGTAGTAGTACCGATATCAGTGAAGTATTGCGATATGTATATATCCCCGTTGTACGAAACAACGTGTGTAGAATACAGCTTGGACCAGCCATTACAAACTCAAACATTTGTATTGGAGGAAACGAGTCTAAAGGAACTTGCTATGGAGATTCAGGAGGACCTCTTGTCGTTAACGGGAAATTGGTAAATACACATCAGTTTAGAAATATCTAATCAATAAATGTATGCATAAAAAGAAAATATGTGTATATATACGTCAGGTTTTCTTTGTAATTATAATTATATTTATTACTAGCACTGCGACCCTCATTGTTAAATGTACTTGCTTGCTTGTGGTGGGTGATGATGGATAAGACCAATGGTCATGATCAAATCGCAACAGTCTCGTTCTAATTAAAGAAAACAATTGTGTGGTGTAAGTGAAACTTTTCGAATTGTAGGAATTCAACTGTAAATTTTCGAAAAATTATTCGATTTAGGGTATTAAAATTAAAATCGCGTTCTTAATCTTATCTTAATGATTGTAGACAACATACCCAATTATAAATTTTAATTTCAATCTGCTTATGAGAGTACGGAATACATAATAAATGCAATCGTTCAGATGATAGACGCATGTTAAAAACTAAGAACAATATTTATTTGAATCATTGAATCATTTTAAGCTTCAGTTATTCTATCAATAATCATCTATCCTATCATCTTCGCTTTGAGTGTCACAGTCTATATTAGTAATTGTCATGCACTTGCACGAATGAGTGAGAATATAAATGCTACACGGTTAGCTCATGCGAGCCACGGGCGCCGCCATATTGGCCTTGGCTGCTCTGTCGAGCGTCTTTCAATTTTACCCCTACTACGCGGCCGGCTGTAATGCGACACGCGATAGATGGACGAAAAATTTGAGGCGATATTATAAAAATTTCACTTTAAAAACCTCTTTCTTAATTATACGTCGTGTGTTAATGCTCACAAATGTTCCGAGAATCTTTTGAATGAACGTATCGGTGGGTTACGCAGTGACGATACCCTGCCCTTTCATTGATTTCTACATTTCTACTCTTAAAAACAGTCAAAACTCAACCGCCACAGTTGGTAGTTTATCTGCAGATCCATCCGGTCTTTGTATGTCAAGGCACGTGATTAAAAGTGGAGTCAGTGTTGCACATTTGTTAATACACCAAAAAATAGTGAATAATCTAATAAAATTCATTTAAAGACCATTAACATAGGTACATAAATACTGATATTGTTTGTTGTATCTGTTACAGGTTGGTGTAGCTTCATTCATAGGTAATCCTGATTGTAGTTTAGGCGAACCAAGCGCCTTTACAAGAATAACATCGTATTTAAACTAGATTGCAGTAAACAGTGATGTTGTTATTTCTTAAACATTCCTTAAATAACCGATTTGTGCACTGAAACAAATATATCTTTTTCTGTCTGTACATAAGTATAGCATGAGTTGTATGCATGTATAAAACTATAAAGGAATAGCTTATTAATGTGCATAGATATATCGATACCTATTGTATACAATTTTTCTTCTTAAATTTATTTTTCAAATACACATACATTTTTTCTTATTAAGATGAAGTTGTAGATTGTTTTCTCTTTCAATTACAGAGGTAAATCTAGCTACAAGCTTTTATATCACATAAATTGTATAATTACAAAAAACTGATCGGTTTGATTTAATTTAAAGCTTATTTTTTTCATTTTAGAGCATTATAATAAAAGCTTATTTTTAAAAATATTAAAAACTGAATGCTAATGTAACATTTCATGTCTGTGCTGCTAACCATTGAGGAGGAGGAGAATGATCTGACTAATAGCAACCTGGGCTTCGATCTGGGCAAATAATAGGGGTGGCTTTCGACTCAGAATAAAGTTAATTTAACAGCGATACGATTCACAACTGTTAACCGAGTTAATTGACTTGATTTGAAAAGTGTTGATTTTAACCTATAATTTCCAATACGTCTATCCAAACCTTCAATTTTACAATTAATATTATGTTAAAATTAACGGAAAGGAAAATGCACGAACTTCTTAAGCATGCGAATTTTCTTTGAACTTTTTAGTACTGGTCCAGCTGTGACACCAGGTTTCAAAGCATACAATGGCTCTATTCTATCAATAATTGTAATAACTTCTTCCTGAATAATTTTCAACTCGAATGTTTTGTCCATCCTCTCAATAACTTCATGTGGACCAGAATACAGTGGTTGTAAGGGTTTTCGGATCTTCTCATTCCTGAGTAAACATTGCGTGTAATTTTTTAAATTATTAAGAACTTTATTAGCTTTATACTTTTTACATTTTGATTTTTTATAATTTTTTATAATTTCATCATTTCGTTATATCCTTGTTTCTTATTTTAATTAAAATCGTTGATGTGTCCAACACGTGGTTCTTGATTTGTTAACTTTATATTTATTATTTTATTTAAAAACAAAACTATTGGTGATCTTATGCCTTGAAGCTGGCAATGGGCGTAGTTAACTGGGTTGCTCACTGGGTGCTCTGTAAAGTACACAAACCCCCCTGGTAAAGCTCAGCAAGCCATTCTCCTAAAACCGATTGGCATGGCTTAGAGATTTAGCCCACTGCTTAGCATTCGAGAGGACGCTAACTTGATTCCGGGTCCGCCTGCCTTGATCCATGGTTTGTGATTTCGTTGGATCACATACAATTCCTTTATTATCTTCTGTCTTCATTTCGTCCCTCTTATCTTTCTAACCTGAACCATCAACCACCCATTTTCACGTTTCCGAAAGGAGGCTGAAGAGGGCCTGCCGTCCTACCTTCTGGTGTAGTCCGGAGGAATTGCCCGCTCACCAGTGTTAGTGGCCGGTGGGAATGAAACACCCAAAAGTTTTTTTTGTTCTTTTAAAACTGAGCGGCATGGCCTAGAGATTTAGACCATTGCTTAGCATTCAGGAGGACGCCGGTTCGATCTTAGGCAAACGCTGGGGCAGTAATATTTCTTTCATTCTTCTGTCTTCATTTCGTCCGTCTCCACTCTTACCAGAACCACCACTCGTTCATTCCCAAGATTCCTGAAAGGAGGTTGTGAATAGGGCCTTCCGCAATGCCTTCCGGCGTAGTCCGGTGGGATTGTCTGCCCACCTACTGACTGATGGGAATGAAACACCCAAAAATTATTTACTTTTTTTTTCTCTTAGATCCTTATTAAACGAATTTCGAAAACCAAGCGAAACTACTCTTACCGAAGAAAGTCCAAAGTGCCGCCGTTAATTGGCAAAACGTTTATCGTGCTATTGGGGACTGGGGGAGACCCACCATGTGAAACAGCCATAACTATAGGTTCGACTTATATTGCTTTCATCTACCAGTAGTGATAGTAACTGGACAAAGAAACGAGAAATCCAAAATATTGTACCTAAATGGTTCAGACACTTCCTCGGCAGTTTTATTCGATACGGGGCAGGCGTTCGTACGGCAATTGAATCATATAGTAAGAAAACAATACTTATATTGGACAACACTTTGAAGTTCTAGGTGTCAGCTTTGCAACGACAATTTTCATCTTCTCGCAGGCTTTCTCGCTCAAAGGGACAGATTCCTAGAGGAAACTGATAATCATCACGGGAAGGTTATTGTTGATATCATTCACGTTTTGGGGATATAGAAAATTTATATATACCGCATTGCTAAAACATTCAAGACAATCAGTTGTAACTGATTGCCCAACATGCTTATCTTTATTAGGTATAATATTTGGAACTGATTTCAGCTTTTGGAGAGTTAAGTAGAGCAAGCTGTTAGATATTTTACGTAATTTATAGACACATAGGACAACTTTCTTTATTTGGGGTAGGCCGTTTGAAAAGTTGATCATCCTTAAACGACATGCTTTTAGATTGGTGAAAATAAGATCGGATATTTATTGATGAGTTTGAATTGATTTCTACATGAAACTGATTATTTGTAGGGTCTGTCTTCAATTCTTTAAATTTATTATTGCAAACAAGGTTCTCCGTTTTTTCTAAAGGTAATCCTGGTTTTTACGAATACAGAATTGTAATAGTATTGTCTTTGTCGACTTTCATAACGATTTTTTATCGTTACTGTAATTCTTATAGTTCATGGTTAAAAATTTCGGCTTCCCTTTATTTAACGAAATTGTTTTATACGAAGCTAAATGCTTATGTATAAAACTCAATAAGGTAAAAGTAACAAGTTGATACGCTAATAATTTTATATAGGTAGATACTATGCAAGACTTTATCTAGAGACACGATCCAATTATTTATCAGACTAAACGTTTAAAAAACGATTGAAGGCCGCCCGTGTAGCCGACACGTGTAGCGTTAAAAACTCTAATGATTCATAACTTAAAAATACGCAGGATGATACCAATAAAAACATACGCCGTTAAAAAAGTTTTGTAAACTCTACTAGCTACAAAAAACACGCTATAATTGAGACAATGTTACCCACAGAAAACTCTTCCAACCTTTAATTTATATTCGTGTATATAACCAAACACTCGAAGATAAATCTGTCCTTTCCGTAAAACCATCACTGATTATGTATATGTGGTGCATTTCAATGTTGTTGCATAGTTAGGTCATAAAGATATGCTGCATATGTTTAAGCTTAAATCAACGTCGACCGAAAGGCAAAATGGTGGATTATGAGGGCATATGTACAATTATGCCTACTTTACAAGTATACGGGGTATACGTTCCATAAATATGCCACGAATACAGAAACCGTGAATATGGAATGGTAGCTACTATGGAATCATAGGGGATACGTTCTAAGGTTTCAAAATAAAACCAATTTGTATCAGAATAAAATCAATTTATTGAGAAATTCGCAATTAAAATTAATCGTTATAATCATCTTTAGCCAAGGATTTAGAAGTTTAGTGATTTTTTTTTGTTTTGAATTTTAAATAAGTCCATTCGGTTACATCTTCTAAAAAAATCACCTCGGCACGAGCCAACAGTACTTAAAAGATGCCGATAAGTTGAAAAATAACACCGAATCCTTTTCTCTTTACTCGGTTACATCTTTTATAAAAGCTGCCTCGGCACCCACCAACAGTACATACTAAAAAGATGATACATTAAGGGGATTCAGTAATACATGCGCCGCAGAGTAAGAAAACATGCTTATCGGTTCTAGATATCATGAATTTAATGTTTGGAACAAAGGTTTGAAATTTTGTAGTAAGATACATAAAGCTTTATTCTAAAGCTTGTTGATGGCCATTTTTAATTTTTTTAATTTCTATTGAAAATACGTGTCCTACAAGAAGCATCAACTTTAAGCACTTGTAAAAGCTTTTAATGACCATATTATTGAAAACCAAAAAACGTATCAAGTTAGTGTGTACCTTGGTCTGTTACCATATAGAAAATAAGATATTTATCTCGCAGCGTTAAATCACAATATTTAAAATAGAAACCCATGTTTTCGGAAAAATTCACACAAGGTACGTTTACCGATTACATCTGCGAATAATGAAAGTTTTAACCGCGAATACAAGAACTGGGTTGAATTTTTTCACTCGCGAATAGTGGAAACGCGAATAAGGAAACCGCGAATAAGGAATTTTTACTGTACTTACCCACCAACTACAAGCATTGTGTCAATTGAGGCAATGATTCCGTTAACTAGCAGTACCCTTTACTAACAATTCTATTCGATAAATTCCTCAAATTTAAGGCCGTCTCTTGAGTTAAGGCCGCCCATGGCAAACTGTTATACAGTCGTCCTTAAAAATATTGGCTCTCTCGTACATACAGATATAAAAACCATTCTTTTTTGAAATTTCTATTTATGCAAATGTAGCTAATATCTACAAACAAAACATGTGTCGTACAATTCAAAATTAAACCAAAAATTAAATCTCATTTTCTATTGAAATTAACGCTCACCGCTGAGTCTATTTTGACCCATGCTTGATGTTAAGCTATCACAGCATTAGAAAAAATTCGAGGGGTTTTACTGTAGGGGCTAACCTTTGGACTAGAAATTATAAGATCTCATTTAAAATGACTTTTCAGGATTTTTTTTCCAAGAGGAAATTTTTCCCTAGAACCACTATAATTAGTATCTAGGTAGCGCTATCCTGGCCGGTAAGTGCATATTCAAAAATACGAAAATAATAAATAAATCAGACAATCAGACAGTGAAGGTTGTTTTTTAGAAAAATGTCATGGTTTAGAATACTTATATACAGGTCAGTTCACCATATATAGATGCCGACCCCGGAACCCTCATTTATAGAGTTTAATAAATGGGCTGTGTCGTAAAATTTTGGTTCACGTTAGTTAAAATTGTGCTTTCAGGTCTATTTTTATTACTTATCGCAAATCAAGCGAGATTTGACAAAGAGCGAGGGGATGAACAATAAGAGGAAAAGGGAGTAAAATGTTCAATTGAGCGAGCTGCGATAATACTGATAATACGGTTTAGCCGCCCATCCAAAAATGCTGCCGCGAGCACTCGCCCGGTTGCCCGGATTATTAAGACGGCCCTGCTCAAATCACAAATCAAAAATTAGTCCAGTCTAGTTCGCATTCTCTTGCATTCTCTTTTATTCTTAATAAGCCACATCATTTATTGTTTCACATTTACGATAAATTATTCAAAATTATTTCTTTATTTTACAAATTAGTTGTTTAAGAAACATTTAAGAAATAACAGCATCACTATTTGCTGAGATCCAGTCTAAAAATGATGTTACTCTTGAAAAGCCACTTGGTTCCCCACCTTCACAACCGTTGTAACCTAGAAACGAAGTTACACCAACCTGCAAAAGACGCAACAAAGAATAACAATATTGCGGTACTTCACTGATTTTAAAGTTGCTTTTAATGGAATATTTGTCATTTTTTCGTACATCCTTTCATAAAAAAAGCAGATGAAGTGGGCTATTCGCTGAATTGCAGAATTCTTTTTGTAAATATAGAAAAATAATGAATCGGAACCTTCAGACCACTTTTACAAGAATCAAAAATATTGCGAAACAGAACTATCGTCTTTTGATTCGGCAGGTGACTTAAGGGAGAGAAATGGGCCAATGGATAACACCCATGATTTTTAATTGAAACTCACCTAATTACCATCCACCGACTCGTTTGTTCTGGAACATACGTGAACATGCTCGAGCATTCTTATGAACAAAGTAGTATAGTCCAATATCCGAGAGCCACCAGACATTACGTATTTTTTGAGAAACAGAATAGATGGAATAGATTAGTGTTAGTATGTACTTTGCACTTATGTATACCTGCTAACTTAGGCCGACAGCTAATTTGCAGATAACAGGTGTTAATTACTTAATTAATTTAATAATCAATCTGTCATACACTTTCCCTCGATGGTAATTTCAACCAGAACTTTTAAATACGATTAATGTCGCTAATTATCACTCTTATACTTATACTCACAGCAATATCTTAATTGTACCTATCTGGGGGATGTTTGGTCTACAATTGGTCTGACTGTTTACAAAGTATTTTGAAATAGTATCAAATTTAACAATTACTCAGACTGTGAGTAAAATTATGATTTTTTTACGAACTTTGAAGCGTTTGGCAGAAATTACCCTCGATGGAAACGTCTGACAATGTTGTTTATTAATTTTTAACAGTATTCTATGAAACATTATGTAAAAATCAGAACTCATACTTGAGATAAGTGAGTAATGTTTTGCGTACTTTTAGGACCTGGTATCTGCCGTTGGCCCAAGTTAGCACGTATGCATACTGTCAAAGTAACACCACTTTATCTCACAAATTCCAACAGATTTTAGAAAATACTACAAATGGCGCAGTAAACGCCATCTGTAGCACGATGCTACATTTTAGGATTACGTATGCTCCAACAAGGTCCACTTGTGTGGATATCTACTTGCTGAAGGTATCCGATCTGGGTTTTATACCACTAACAGCTGTTGTAATAAATCGACAACGTAAAAGTTGACGAGTACTGGTGTGGGGTCAGAGTTTTATAAATACAATTCGGGGTTCGGTAAAAATGAGAAAAAAGAAATTTAATAAATTTAACCACATTAAACAAGGATAAACAAAGAACATACAAATTAAAAATCGTCTTAAAAAAGTTCCCGAAAGTAAACAAAAGAGTATTTAAAGGAAGAGACGATTGCCGAGAGGAGAAGAAATAAATTGACCGTTGCAGAAGTGAATCCAGAGATCAATTGACAATAGCAGTGAAATAAAGAGCGCAGTGAATAGTGATATATCAACAGTAGTGTAAACAAATAGAATAATTCATAATCTATGTTTAGTAATAATTTAACAGTGTTTTCAAGTTCTTCAATAATTAGTGTAAATAAATAGTTTTTGTCGTTATCAGTATTAGAAGTTAATTTTGTTAAACCCACGAACATTACAATATTGACTCAATGTAGTCAAACTGATATGTATATTTACCAATTTTCCATTGACCACAAGAGGTCCTCCTGAATCTCCATAGCAAATTCCTTTATTGCCCGCTCCTCCCGAACAAATGATTGAGTCTGTGACATACGGACCGTACGTTATGTTACACACGTCGTTTGCTATAATGGGAACAGTGATATATAGCAATACGGCACTGGCATCCGCAGCAGAACCCGTATTTGATCCCCAGCCACTTGCTATTGCCTCAGATCCTACGAAACTATTCGAAGCGTCAGCTCTTAGGGGAAGTGCAATCAGTTTAACGTACCCTGTGAAAAATTAAATTAAGTTCTTTAAAAAAGCAAATTGAACTTCCAGAATTTATAGGAACGTTTATAAACAGAATAGTACCAAAAATGATAAATGTGAAAATAGAATTATTGAACAGACTACTTTACGATGAATTTGTTTCAGTTTCTTCAAGCTTTCGCTTATGTAAGCATTAAACAGACATTGGAAACCTAAAAAGACTATCGAATAATTTATTTTTTACATTAATTAGCATGTTCTGTAATCAACAATTAGACATTACTAATGTTTAAGATAAAGCAATCGAAATAGTTACTATTGAGATTGGCTGGTATTGGAAGATAAATCATGCCTAAATCATTCTCTACTGTTTCATTAGTATACAACTCATGTATTTTGAACGTGGAGGTTCGAATGCGTTGTTGGGTACTTTCATTTTGAAGAATGTTATGCGCCCCCAGAATTACTACCAACGATACAAGACTAAAAAAAACGGAATGCAAAAAGGTATATTGAGCCATGCAATATTTATACAGGGTGGACTACAAAAAACATCCTAAGTCATAACTTTTAAAGATATGGCTATACTTCTTGAGGCAAAATTGCATACTTCATTGTCTGTTTTTTTTTTTGGAACAAATGCTCAATCAACTAATATCAACTACAGCTTTTTAAATGGAATACTCAGTACATTTTACTATTTTTGAATATCTTGTTAAATTGTCTTTCAAAAAGCTTAACAGTATCATGCGCCTAAAACGAATAGTTGAAGAAGTATTCCTCAATTAATGTAAAGTAGACAGCATGCACATGTTTAATAAAAATAATTAGCTTTACATTAAACAAAGTAGGTGATGGAAAATAATAAATCAAAAAATGTTAACAAATATCAATAGTTCGCATTTCTCCTAATAGTGTTTCTATATCGGCTGGTATTGATCATGGATAACAGTGTGCTAACAGACATGAGTCAAGTACCTAAATTTTAGAACTAAATAAAAGTAATGGGAGAGTACATTGAACGATTTCTGACGAGATAAATACCAAAACGTCGAAAATTTAGTAATTTTTTCAAATAGAACACTGTTTAAAAAAAATGTTCAGTCTCTGAAAGCGAGTCTCGAGTCTCCGTCTCTCATCGAATCTCTCCGCTGTCGCTGAGAGAGATTGTCGAGAGACTATAAAAAAAAACTGGTTAGCGTCTCTGAACGAGAGACTCGAGTCTCTCATAGAGAGATCCTCATTTCGTATCCAGTCTCTGAATGAGAGACTCGAATCTCTGAACGAGAAATTCGAATCTCTCAATAAGTGGTGTCTCGATAGAGATTGTTAAAATTTTCTAAGTTCAACATATTTCAAAGATCCCAGTCTTTCTACAATAGACTCGAGTCTCTCAATTTTTCAGTTTTATTCATTCAATCTCTCTGTGAGCGACTCGAATCTCTGAATTAACAATTTTATCGTTCGATTCCATTCTTTCTATTGTCTATTTTATTTAATGTACATATCTTTAAAAATAATAATGGCTTGGGCTTTTTCTGTANTGGAATATATTTCTTTATATTTATTGAATATTTTACCCATCATTCAAACAATGCGCTGCTGTTAACACGTATCTTCTGGTAATTAGAGATCCTCCACAGAAAAGATATGACTCATCGTTAGTACGCGTCAAAGCAACCTAAATAAATAAAAATATTACTCCAACGCACTTGAATTTCGACCTCTAAAACATCTACATCTACTATCACATTCCTTAAATCTGATACCCAAATTTCAACCCTTCCCAATCTATCCCACCTACAATTTTACACTCTCTTAAAGAGGGTTGCTAAAGCTTGGAAGTGAATAACTTATGATCTGTAGAGAAGAACAGAGTAGAGAAAAAATATTATGAATCGATTTAAATTCTTCTATATTCATGGATTATAGGAGGACTTTTGAGACGATAAAATGGGGAAATATTGTGAAAAGAAAAAGATATATTATTTAAATTAATTGTAATGACTCATTTACGTTACTGTTTAGCAGTTCTTATGATGACAAATAAAACTGAAACAACTTTACAAAAAAACATTAACAAAGGTATGAGAGTAAGTTCTTAACAAAAGACGATGTGAAAATGTAAACAACATGTTGAAGAAAATGGGATTGTACTCAGTAGAAAATAAAATAAAAAGGGATATATTAACGTTTATATATAGCGTAGAAAATAAAATAGTACCGGAATACCCCAAAGGATTAGCAACAAAAAATTCAGATATACATAATTATGTTACCAGGCAGGCAAATATTTTTCATTTGGAAAAAGTTAGAAGCAGTAAGGGGCAGAAAACTGTGTTTAATAAAGGAATTATGGCATATAACATGTTGCCATATGAAATTAAAAAGTTAGGGTCAGTTGGTAGATTTAGAGATGCAGTCGGTACTTGGTTGAGTAAGAATGAACAGGAGGATTTGTAATTATATAAGGTTTCATTTTGTTTAATTGTATAGTGCTGTTTTTTGTGCGATTGAAACATACAAATGTTTTGTTTAAAAATTATATTTTGAATAATTGTAAACGTTTATGTAATTACCCGTAGGCTATCTGGTATGAAAAAATAATAATTAAACAATAAAATAATTCTGTATTTCTCAGTAAAAACAAGCCCAAATAAATTATGCACAGTGCGAATTAACCCAGAAATTTCGATCAAACACCAAATTGTCAAATATTTTCAATGCTTACTTGGTAAGGAAAAGTGTTTGGTACAGCTTCATTCCCTCCTACGATCCTTATATCTTCAGGGGGTGGGAACTGTTTGAGTCCTGTGTGAGATGTCTCATGAGCAGTTATAATTTTAGTTACGTAAGGCTATAAAAACAAAAAATTAATTCGAAGTTGATCTAGACAACCAAATTGATATCACTGCTTTACCGTAAGTAAGGAAAATGTAGTGAAAATTAAAACAATTTCCTTCATTTCTGCTGATGATACAGATACTGTGTAGATTTTGGCAGAAACTCCTTTTATAATCTTTAAAGTACTTTTGCTGATAATAATCTTGGTTGCGTGTTTTGTTCGGGCCCCATCGTTATGATAAACGATAAATTTCCAAATATTTTAGAAAAATATATTTTTTTTTGTAATTAAAGTTGCTTTAAACATATTTCTGATAAACACTTCTCGTAAGACTGATTGCAATGTAGCTCTGTATATTGAAAACACATGTTCTTACTTCATTGATGANCAGCATGCACATGTTTAATAAAAATAATTAGCTTTACATTAAACAAAGTAGGTGATGGAAAATAATAAATCAAAAAATGTTAACAAATATCAATAGTTCGCATTTTCTCCTAATAGTGTTTCTATATCGGCTGGTATTGATCATGGATAACAGTGTGCTAACAGACATGAGTCAAGTACCTAAATTTTAGAACTAAATAAAAGTAATGGGAGAGTACATTGAACGATTTCTGACGAGATAAATACCAAAACGTCGAAAATTTAGTAATTTTTTCAAATAGAACACTGTTTAAAAAAAATGTTCAGTCTCTGAAAGCGAGTCTCGAGTCTCCGTCTCTCATCGAATCTCTCCGCTGTCGCTGAGAGAGATTGTCGAGAGACTATAAAAAAAAACTGGTTAGCGTCTCTGAACGAGAGACTCGAGTCTCTCATAGAGAGATCCTCATTTCGTATCCAGTCTCTGAATGAGAGACTCGAATCTCTGAACGAGAAATTCGAATCTCTCAATAAGTGGTGTCTCGATAGAGATTGTTAAAATTTTCTAAGTTCAACATATTTCAAAGATCCCAGTCTTTCTACAATAGACTCGAGTCTCTCAATTTTTCAGTTTTATTCATTCAATCTCTCTGTGAGCGACTCGAATCTCTGAATTAACAATTTTATCGTTCGATTCCATTCTTTCTATTGTCTATTTTATTTAATGTACATATCTTTAAAAATAATAATGGCTTGGGCTTTTTCTGTAATCCACTTTGTATGTATATATATAAATATATATATTTCTTTATA